TTATATAGGTGTCAGTAATAAATAAGTGACTGAAACTTATATAGGTGTCAGTAATAAATAAGTGACTGAAACTTATATAGGTGTCAGTAATAAATAAGTGACTGAAACTTATATAGATGTCAGTAATAAATAAGTGACTGAAACTTATATAGGTGTCAGTTATAAATAAGTGACTGAAACTTATATAGATGTCAGTAATAAATATGTGACTGAAACTTATACAGGTGTCAGTAATAAATATGTGACTGAAACTTGTTATATTTCCAGTTAAGGGAAGCTGGGAAACCTACCAGTATCAAAAGTTTTCATGATGCAACCATATCAAATGCTAAACCCATTATCGACCTAGTTGACGCTACTAAGCCAGGCTCGATCAACTATGGTACAGTGTTGCCTGGTAGTAATGATGAAGTAAGTAAAACAGAAAACTATTATTGTGTTATAAATCATGTGGGGGGGTCAAGTGTTATTAAATATAAGAGAAAAAAGCCTTTTTACTTTCAACAAGTCTTTATTTTTTTTCTATTCCAAAATTACCTCAGGCTCTCCTTGCACAACTGTTATCCTCTTTCAAGTTAGATAATATAACTTCTTGTCAGGAAAAACAATTAACACTTTTGTATCCAGGGTAACATAATGTAGGGAAAATCTTAAAACACTAAATTCTAATATATAGGATGGGGGGGGTGCTGAGAGAGGCAGAGCTCTGCAATAGGGGGGTCTGCTCCCCACCATCCCAATGAACCTGTCCCTGGGGGTTGTTATTAATATATTGGATATATTTAATCTTGAAGTCCATTGATCTTGTGGAAGTGATTTTAAGGTCATTACTGTAAGCATCACATAATCGCTTTAAAACTTTATTTGTTAAAGAGACTTAAATACATATTTGTACCGGAGTATCAAAGGTTTAGTTACTGACACGATAATCACTTTTATTATTCAATTAAGTAAAACATCAGAATGAAAACAACATCAACAGTAAAAGCTATCAATTTATGTTAATTTAGTTGGCTATGTTTAAAGGCTTGTCAGTCAAACCACGACTAAGAATTATAATCATGATGAAGTCATTAGTTAAGGGAATGTAAAAACTACTAACCGATGGATTGCATTAATTTACTTTTAGGATAATGCTTTTGTTAAGTGTTTTTATGGTCATTAGATAAACTAATTTAGTAGAACTATTTAAATTGAAACTGTTATCAATCTATGGCATATTGTATTTTTTTATTTTAGTCGTCTGTAAAAGGAATGATAAATGTTTT